CAAAGAAAGGAAATGCAGTCTTGGCGTTTGAGGGCGCGAACGCATGCGCAGATTGACACAACTTGAAGGCTGGTATCACAGAGAATAGAAATTGTCAAATTTCGTCATAAATGCGTAAAATCTGGAAAAATATATGATTTATATGTAATCGGACAATATTTTGCGATAGTTCAATGTCTTATAAGCACTCGTAACTGGTTTGGACAAGGTATTTTGTATTTTGAGGTATGATTTTCGGCAGCTAGAAAAATGTGTGCACATTTTGTTTCCTCCCTTGTCTTATATATAGTGCAAGCTGATCGGCCGGAAACAAGTATTAGTGATTTTTGTAGTTTCGGAGTGTGATGATTAAATTTAATAACATATGCTTGCTTTACATTACTAAACTGTTTTAATTCCATAATTTCTATTATTTTGAGCAAAGACAAGGTTCTGTACCGGGACATAGTCGTACGGCCCCATAGACCTCCACGCATTGAGACGAATAGATTGTCAAGCCCCTGTGATACTAGTATTACTACAATATGTAATATGACAATGATAATTAAATATACGATGGACCCACTTAATTATACATTGTACTAATAGTGATTTTTCAATATTTTTAGTAAACATGTAGTGTATTTTATTAATAATTATTATAAACTTGCCATTACAAATAACCTTTTAAAACCTCCTGATTATGATATTTCGTTTGCAAAACAGTGAGCTACAATTGCAATACTGCTGCCTGGGTTGCTTTTTCGATCACAGGAGTACGTAATGCATAGTACATGTATTTTTTTAAACCGATGTTGTAGACATAATAATCATTATGGGACATTTAAGCAGGAGATGAATAACCAAGGAAAGCAAGGTAATAGACGATTTGCACAATTTTTACAAACGATCATCAACACTCACCTTTCACATTTGAATCAGAGTTGATCACCGACATCGTGCAGCTCGATTACTGATGATACGGACAACGACTCATTAGAAGGCGAACTATCGGCCTTTCCACGGTTTAGTTATCTGTTGATAACACTGGTATTCGCTAGTACTTTGATTATAACTAATTTTGTGCTCGCAAACCAGCAATTTTCGCTCCCTATCTAAACAATACACGCATTTTTTTAAATTTGCGAGCGTCGTTTGAAGCCGATAACGTTTATAACAAAGACGCTGATTGGCTAAAATGTCCACATGACCTTCAACCCTGTTTTAGAACTTCTCTTCGAATGAATATTATCTGTCTGCGATAAAATATATCAAAGCTATAATGAAAACATTCATTTGTTATTATGTAATACGAATAAGTAACCCGAAAAAAGAAAAAAGAAAGGAACTATAATATTTTTGTAGAAAAGCTTGCAAGCCAATCACTGAATTCGTTACAAGTGAACCCGGAAATGATACATCCAATCAAACGGAACATGTTGCGCATGTTCATATCGTCTCACCAGAATGGCTGATCGAAGGGAGTCGGGTATGTGTGTTGTTATAAGTTTGGTGGTTGACATTATATTTTGCAAGCAGCGAATGAAAACTACATACATTCTGAACTCTATTATGCTTTGTTAAATATCATTCAGCTGAACATGAATAAGATTTTTTTGTTTGTTTTTTTTCTCGACCATTTGGCATCTCGCATGACCGGTAGTTTTGGCAACATCATAAATTTCGGCGGGATGGTCAAAACAAATCTGCACGAAAAAAAAATATGACAGAAAATTTAAAAAAACAAGTCATTGTCAATGACACGTCCCCGTTCCGTTCATATTTGAGTGACATATACATTCAAAGCAGATCATGACCGAAATGCACCTGCATATGTACAACACATTGTGCTAAATCTGAACAAAATCCATCCATGCATGACTGAGATCCGGTTCTGGAATTGTGAAAATACGTGATTTTGATGCATTTTTGGCCTTAAAATGGCCATCATTCCGCTATTGTTAAGCAGATCATGAAACAAATGCACATATCTATTTGTGACATGATGTACCATGTGTGTGTGAAGTTTGA